TTAACACAATTATTTGTGTTCATCACCCAGCAGTCATAGCGGATCTATCCACGGGCTTTGCCGCAGTTTGATATCATAATCAAGCATACAGGCACACCACACAAAACCAACCGCACCAGCTCACGTTCCCTCCACAGAGCACCACCCTCCTCCACCCATGCACATCAACACACGCAGTACATATTCTCCGCACACAACCGCGTAACAAAACCCTCACACGGCGCGCGCTTGCGGCACCAATCCCGACCCTGGCAGAGGCGCCGCCTGACCCGCACCGCCGCCCGGCCGGCGCCTTACCGTCGGTGGTCTTCAGACAGAGGGCGTCGCTGGGCGGCCCGTCGCCAGAGCTGTTGTAGCCCTTGACGCGGCACGTGTAGCGTGTGTTGAAGTGCAACCCGCTGATGCGACACGGCGTCTCGCGGCCGCAGTAGGCGTCCTGCAAGCGCACGTGGCACGTGTGTCAGAGCGCCGCCGCGTCGGCATGTCGGACGACACGTCGGCATGCAGTCGGCGTACGATCCGACGGGGGCCGGCGCGGTGCGGACGCATGCGGCCCCCACCGGTCGAGCGCACACAGGCGCCTGGTCCACAGACGGACCTCGCCGAGAGGCGCAGTCGCACAGATCACGCGCAGCCAGACAGTCAGACCACCTCATCTGAAGACGCATTTATTCGGACGGCGAGGAAGAGCAAGCTGACGAGACAGTGAGCGCCACTCCACACGCGATATGTCTCCAGGATTTACGTCTCTGATTAGAAACTGAGACCATGAATTTCAACAAAATATCAGGTAACAGGCATTTTATACCTGAAATACCTCAACATCTGCCGCAGGTACATGTGACTGCTTCTTTTGCACGTATATACGACAAAATATATATTAGAATCAACCAGTGACAATGGATGGTCGCACATGTCAAATGTCGTCAGCCGACGGACAGCGAGCGGACAATTTCACAATATTCCTCGCTCTCAAAGTACGTCGAAGGTATCACGTAACTGACTAGTTACTGGAGCGCATCGACACGTTCAATTTAAAAATATGCCGTCGCAAGGTGAGCAAGCTATTGGATACCTAAATCCAGCTCGCCACGTCGCGTTCCCGATCATCTTGTTTTCCGTCACCATCGTTTATTACCGCAGCTGAGCGTGAGCCCTCCATAAACACTCGCAAACGCAAATAGTGCACGACAAACAAGCTCATCACTGGCCGCCCAGCCGCGCGGCTTTCGTCGCTACGTCTGCTTCATGCCACACATGCGTCAGCAGTGACGACATCGCGTATGGACACGGGCCGGCCAGCCCCTGCTGAAGTCATTCGTCCGCGGTATTGAGCTGTAGGCGCCGACCTGCCTCCGACACAGTCAGTGTCGGCGAACGACCGGGAGTGACGCCGCACCTGGTCCCTTCGGACCGCACTCGTCCACCTTACCCGGGCCCGTCCGGCAGCGCGGGCCCCGCGACAAAGGGTCGGACCAACCCCGCCCAAGCCGGCGGCCGGCGGTCAGTCGCAGCCGCCCAGGAGAGGGGGGGGGGGACTAGTGCCAGACTTGTCACAAGCAGTACGCAATAGATGCCAGATGTGAACACCAGAGCGCAGCCATGGTAGTTATGGCTGGCACAATCTGTAACTCTTTTGAGTTGTGAAAATGCCCAAGCTGCACCAAGGTTCCCGACCTCGGCAGTTGTGCGCTAGCCATCCCACCGCGTGCAGTTCGTGTTTGCTTGTCACCTGCGCGCAAGGTAGTTATATACCAATTTGCTGCTCTCGCCACGTCAAGTATCTTTCTACGTGCTTTGCAGGCGCGGCCAGGTGCGCCGGACAGTCCGTTGCTCACACCTCTTCAAAGAGCGTCCCACCCGCTCCCGCGCGCGCTGCATGGGGTCGACGTTCATCACACGCCACCGAATTTAGCACCGCCATAACTTCGCCCTCGGAATCGCCGGAGCGGCGGGCCGGCGATTTCAACGGCAGCCGCCAACCCAGCCGGAAATAAGCGCGTGGTGATCGGCGCGGGCGCGCGCGCCACTCGGCCGCGCGCCGCTGGCGCCTCGGGCCTTCTGTTTGTTCAACAGTGACCTGCCGTCATGAGGCGGCGCGCGCGCCGGACGCCGCTGGATAAACACAGCGGTAGCCTGTCCGCTCCACGCAAACAGTTTACGTGCCACAGCCCCGGAATAGGTGGGAGGAACGGGGGCTCGCCACTCGGCGCGCCCAGCACGTCACCGCTGCACTGCTCAGCGCCGCTGACGTCTCCCGGCCTCCGGCTCTCACCGGTGAGAGTTGTTCCGCTCACTCAGCAGAGGCTGTGGACATGGTGGCCGAATGCCCTCTGCTGTTTCCCAGCATTACGTCTGAGCGCTCAATCACAGTCAAAGAGTTATCTTCACTCAGATATGAAGTACTAGACTAGCTGCTGCAGCCGGCAGTAGAACTGGAACGCCAATTTTGGGCACGTGGGGCTGCTGCTAACTCGTCCCGAAAAGACGCCGTTAGCGAGCCGTTACAGAAAAGGATTCTCAATCAACTGCCACCAGCAGCGGCGAGCCATTTTGGAAACACATCCGGCCAGAACCTTTCCGAGCAAGCTTGGATTTTCTGTGCGAGTGAGTTCATGGCCGATTTCCATACGAGATCAAGAGTGCCAAGCGCCAGACCCCGGATTCATTGCCGACACCGCGGGGAGTTGGTGACGTCAGCGCTTCCCAGATAAGCCGGCGATGGCGGACGATAAAGCATTGTGCCTGGCGCGTCGACAGTTGAATCACAAATGTGCACGCCCCTCGCGGCTGGGTGTCAAATGGCACAGTCGGCATGCCCACGGGTACTTTCCGCTTCGCTGACAGGCAGTCAACTGCAGTGATTTATGTGACGCTAAAAAGGGGCGAACATGTCGAACAAAGAGGAAACTGGGCTTGAAAGGTGATAACTGCAATTTGCATATATTGACACAGCGCTTGCACCAACTGCATATTGGTGAAAGAAAATGGCCACATTTCGTTATCTGACGAACCTTTGGTGATGTCGATTGTTAACCAAAAGGCTTCTTGGTGATTCTGACGGAACTCGCATCCTACAAGTCGGGCCTCAACACGGGAGAACAACGGAGTGATTCAAGAGCGAGGGCTCGGCTTCTGCGACCAATAACTAGCGGTGGCTATAATACTCGGAAAAGAACGCCTGCTAAATGTCAGACTATTTTCATCGCTCAAGAAGGTCCGTAACTCAGAGACATGACATGACACAAGACACTCTTTAAACTCACAATTATGTGCTGGCGAAACACGGTCCCTTAGTCCTAAACGGGTGTCGACTGGGGGACGGCCCCTAGCTCGGGACGGCGACTGCCTGAAAACGGTGTTTGGCTCGGAGCTAGCAGCTGAGCTCTTCTATCTCAGAGACGGTCCCTGGCTGCAACACGGTCTTTTGCTCTGGACACTTGCTGAACCGGATACACATTTTTTTATCCCAGCAACAGCTCTGGGATCGCAGGCGGTACCAGCTGACGAACATCTAGCTGCTGACTCGGGGGGAGACCTTTCAGTACGGCCTCCGGGACAGACTGGTGCTGCTGGGGAGGTGGAAACATACTCGGTCCCAATGACCGCTACCAGATGAAAGGCAACTGGCACGTCCCCGGATGCCGCATTAGACGACGCTAACGAACCAGGACCCTGTCAAATCCAGACCGTGCACTCAGTCTAGACGGCGTTTACACCCAGTGACGCAGCGTTTCCGCCCGCTTTGCATCAGAATTCACTGTTTACCAGCCACGTCCGGCGACTTTTTCCTCGTCTCCTTTGTCCCATTGAAGCGGACAGGCGTTCCGTTCAATACAATGCCCCCGCGCGTCACACACGCACTCTATAGGTCCGTCGCAATCCGCAAGGTCATCGCAGCCAGCAAAACGTGCCGGACACCACGTCAGCTCATCGAAAGAGCGGAAGGGTTGGCCGGCGCGCGGTGCCGGGCGTCCGCCACCAAGGACGTGGCTTCTATCGTGGCTAGCGATGCTACTGGCCCCCCTCCCCAGCCGCCTGCTCAACCGATTCCCACACCTTCGCACCCCCTCATCTTTCAGCACACGGTATCGTATTACAGACTGACTGACTGACGGGTTATCTCTCAAACTGAGCAATGAGCTGCCGATTGAAACTAAAAAGATTGTGGGTGACGGGCTCATTCACTACCACATAAGACATATGTGTATATATATATATATATATATATATATATATATATATATATATATATATATATATATATATATATATATATATACAATATCCGATTTAGCTTGCGGACATATATCTCCCGCCCTGAAAACTCTCGGTTGGCTCAAAATCAACGAACATTTGGCCGAGCGCGATCTTCCAGCTCTCCACCATTTTTTTAAGTCACCAACGACGCCGGAGAGTTTAAGAGCCCTTGTCGTCCTACGCTCTGATGTGTCTGCCCGAACTACGCGAGGCTCTCCACGCCTTCTGTTACACTGCGCGTGTCCGAACTGACGTCGCCCGCATATCATTCGTGTGCCGCGCCACGTGCACGCGGCAATGGTCCACCGCCAGATGCTAGGTCACCGGCGAAGGGTTCTCGAGCGGGTGTGTCCAACCGGCCCGCTGCTTGTGCAAGTCGTGCAGCCTGGGTGCTTTTCTTGATAACGAATGCCATATTCGTGCGTAGATTGTACATGAGCTAACTGATGAACTTGTCACTATGTTAAGACATGCATTGACTCGGAAATCGACAGAACTACGTTGTGAAAATTTTTACGAAAACTTACATGTGCACATACATATACTTAAATACGAAACACGAACAGGGAAATCGGGAGTTTCCATTTTCTTGTCCAGTTTTTGAGTCGGCACGGCCAAGCAGTCCAGTTCGGAGCTCTCAACTGAAATAATTACGTTCAGAATCTCGTTCCCTATCCACGCTCGCCAGCTCCCGCCGCGCCAGAACACACCGGCCGGCGTCGGCTGGCGGCTCCACCCACCTTGAAGCCGCCGCCGTCGTCCAGCTGCACTATGAAGCCGTCGTGGTGCGAGGTCGGCTGCGGCCGCCAGCTCAGGGTCAGCGTGTTGTTCTCAGCCGAGCACTCCTCCGCCACCAGGGTCGGACGGCCCGGCGCTGCGGGAAGGACGGGTCAGATCAGGTCAGGTCAGGTCAGAGTACTCCACAGACATCAGGGTCGGAGGGCCTGACGCTACGGGAAGATGGCGCCAGCTCAGGTCAAGGTCAGGTCAGATAACCCCGGCATGGACGTCGAACGGCTCAGCGCTGCGAGAATGGCGGGTCATGCCAGGTCAAGTTAGGTCAGATCAGTATGTTGCTCTCCGCCGGAGCATTACTTCGCTACCAAGGTCGGCCTGCCTAGGGTTACGCATTTGCTCATGCCAGGTCAGCTCAGGTCAGGTCATGCCAAATCAGGTCAGGTCGTGGCAGGTCAGGCCAGCTCAGCACAGAGTACTCTACTCAACCACCTCTTCTTCGGCAACAGAGTCGGCCGACTCGGGCTGAGATTAGCTCACATCAAGTCAGGTCAAGTCAGGTCAGGTCAGGCTAGGTCCGAAGGCTAAGCAAATCCTGCGAACGAGCACATTCACCCGTGCCGCAACACGTGGCACACGATAACGTGTGTGATCGTTTGGTCGCTGGATTATTTATAGACCTGCCAGTCGCCAGAACGGTGATGGCGCATACCACGGGGCGGCCATCAGGACGGCAACTGCCGACAACGAGCGTCGCGCTGGCTGACACCACTGTGAGACATGTCTGCAGCGGCAGCCCGGGGCCCTGGTCACAAGTCGAGTGCGAAGTGCAACGGTAATTTGTCATTCCTGATTCACGTGGCGTGCCTGCACATCATCGTCCGGAGTGGGGAACACAGGAGCATCGTTGGTCGATAACAAAGTTTAGACGTTCCTAAAAAATAATCATATCAATTCTGGCAGGGGGGAGATTGCAAAAAGTGCAGGCAAGGTTGTACCAAGCGGAAGAGCAGCGCACCTGCTCACCTACACGCAGGCGGAGGATATGGAAACGCTCATGCAATGCAGAATTAAACGCATCGTGCAACACAAGCGACTGATCCCTGCAATACACTCGGCCCAGCTGAATGGCATTGGCTGCTGGACACCCTTGCTCACATACTAATTCCGTCTCAGAGCTGGATGTGAGACACGGGTCAGTGGGTGCCCTGCGAAGGCTCCAGATACAAGCTCCAGGCTCCAGGCAACACCGACTTCGGCAACGCTGAGACGGACAGAGGAAATGTGTCGGTAAGGATGGCTGTTGTACTGCACCTGACACCTTACCCTGAACTTAAAGCGTTTATTTTACCCTTCGAAGAACCTTCATGCTGCAAAAGAAAGCCAGTTTGGTGCCGGAAGTCTTCCAGGCAACCCTGTTTAACCAGGTGCAGTACTTTGATTGCTGTGTTCAAGATCAGGGCACAATGTGATTTCATGTCGAATCGAGCACGTACGATGCTGGAGCGGGAGAGAAAGCCACAAGTACACTAGTAACGCATATGCGTGCAGGTTGAAAAGATTAGCATAGTACGTGACCATGCGGGAGAAATATGCTAATATTCTAATGAAAACGTGACATATATATATATATATATATATATATATATATATACAGCTTAACGTGCGTTTAGTAAAACGCACATCGGAGAACCTCATGCCACCTTATGTACGCGCAAGCCCAAGCGGGAAGAAAGGAAGAGAAGAATACAAGACCAAAAATTACGACTAAAACTTATCATTTGCGGTTCTAACTGCCTTTTTAGCTTAGCCATACTTAAAAACTTAGTGAATTTATTAGGCTGTATGCAGGCATCGGCTGGATTTGGAAGGATCACATCCAAAGGGGATCATTTTGTTCGAAAAGAAACTCAAGCGCTCTAACGTGGCTGGACGACACACAAATGCCAACATTGAAACAACGCATTCAGTGCTGGCATGAACTGCCTGAATGCTCGCGATGCAAAGCCAATAGGATTGACGGTGACTTCATAACCGACAGCAACAGCAAATGTTACCTGCTGGTTGTCTCTCCTCTCCTGGCTTGCAGGCTACAGCGGAGAACGCGAGCTCAACATCGGCACCAGGTCACAGTCCGCGGGGCGTCGACAAGGAAGCCAAAAGATCGGCCCTTCAGTGCGCACCTCTATGCAGCGATATTGTTTCCATCGACCCCAGGTGCGTCCCTGCCCATTCACCCCCTCACCCGGGACCTACCCATCGACCGGCCACTGAGCCGACACTGGGCACTGCGTTAACTCCCGTCAGACTGTCCGGGTCACAGGAACACCGTGGACCGCTGAAAATCGGCCCTGACAACTGAAACTGACCCCGACTATTGACCGGATGCGATCTCTCCGACGCGAGCACAACTACTCCATCAGACGCCACTCGGCCGGCTGTCGAGACGCGGCCGGGGGTCGCCGCAGTGTCATGGTCATCGACCGTAAGCACAAGCGGAGCTTCCGAGAACTTTTCACGTGGAGTACGACATAATGGTGCAATAACGACGGAGTCAGTCCTTTTATCACCGATTCAGCGTACCCATGGTGCCTAGGCATCCTTCATGATAACACGCTCGCTGCCGGCGGCGTTGACAAGGTCGCGCTCCCGCTTCCAGGAACCAGGAATGGTGCCACGTGATCCATGGGATCACGTGGCAGCCAACAGGACGGCGCAGGGAGCCCTTTATACCGCTCTCAATGAATTGGTAAGACAAGAAAACAGCCAGTTTGCGCTTGCTCCTTCCACTCTCTTGAGGTGACGAATCAGAGGCCTTTAGTAATGGCGTTCCGGAACGATCTCAAGGCCTGCGTCAGGCCCTGGGCAATCTCCCAAGGGAGGTCAGGAACGTGAGCAGCCCGCCCGCCACCTTTCGTCGCGCCAAATCCATGGGGAAACGATCTGCCTGAGATCTTTTGCGGCGTATAGCCTGGGGAGTGTCCCGGGACGTTCTCTCCACTTCCTCAGCTCGCGGGACTCCTCTCTCCCCGTCCCTACACCGGGGACAGGTCCCGGGATGTCCTCTCCACAGCGCCGCGGCGCTGGATGAGCGCCTGACGAAGCCCCGGAGCTCCCACCCGCCAGAGCCGGCGCCCGGCGCCACTCACGTCTCATCTCGATGAAGTTGAACTGCTGCAGGGCGGCGCGCACGGTGGCCGTCTCCAGGCTGAGGTCGAGGTCGGCGCTGACGTGCGGCTCGGTGATGTCGCGGCCCCACATCAGGTCGTACGAGGCCACCCGGTGCGTCAGCGTCTGGCTGATCTGGCGGCGGGCGGCGCCGGCCCGGTCGGACACAGCGCCGTGGGGCGCGCGCGGGGCGGGGCGGAGGCGGCGCCCGGCGCTGCACGGCCAGCAGGCTGCAGCCGTCGCTGCAGCGGCGACGACCGCCACACGCGGCGAGCGCGGCGCGGGGCGCCGAGAATGACGCAACTGATGCGCATCGCACAGCGAGCCTTCGCGGCGGGGCACAGACTAATCATGACATCCACACCATTAGTCTTGCGACCGAGTGATCATTCGTCACCAGTTCTGAGTCCAGGGCGCGAAAACAGAACAATCTAAAACTCGTCATTGCCATAATCGGTCACAAACATGAGATGGCAAGGCTACCATCAAACCGTCCCTGGGACGTCCCCGTCCCTGATCCCGCAACAAAACCGGCCCATCCACTCACAACAATGCGGAAATGCATATCTCCTCTAAATGCACCCAACGTTTCTGCACCCCGCCACCCAGCACCGACGGGTATTTGCTCCTCCCCACTGACCTGCCCTCCCACCGACCTGGGGCCCCCGCCCCACTGACCTGGAGGAAGGCGCTGTCGTCGCGCTCCTTGAGCGCCTCGATGCAGAACATGAGCAGGCCGTTGGTCTGCTGCAGCCGGGCCGTGGCCTGGGACACCTGCGGCCGACCAAGCGCTGTCAGCCGAGGGCTGCCGTGTCGTCGGCTCAATTTTTAAACAGCTCAATCGATTGAGGCAGTCGGAAGTGACCGGCGGACGCATCCGTGCGCCCTGACCTATTGAAGGTTTGTTGGACCCCCGGCCTTCAGTAATCATTAAGAGCGGAAGCTAGACCAAATCGCGAAACCTACAAGAACATGAAACATTATTACACGGCGACTACAAATCACAATGTGAGGATAAATACCATTTCGCCCAATACTCACACTTCCAAGGGTGTACAAAACACGAATCGATGCCTGCACTTTTGAAAGTCGGCACAGCTGCATTACATGAACCGCGGTGGGTGTGCATCCTGGAATGGGTCGGAAAGGAACGAAAACCCACCCTCCACTGGAGATTTGCCTGGACAGACTTGTTGGTCGAGCTTATAGACGCGTGTGACGCAGGCCTGTTTTTACAGCAACGATGCCAAAGCCCACAAACCCACCGTTTCGGATGAACCGACAGTTGACATATCATTTTTTAAGCTGTGAGGCCCAGTAAAAAACAAACAAACAAAACAAAAGGGGCGGTTCACAGACCTGCCATTCGAATCGAGTGTGCCGCTGCGATCTGCATACCTGCTGTTTCAGAGAACGGATCTTGTCGTCGCGGGTAGAGTGCAGGTACTGCACCAGCTGCTCCCGCCGCTGGTGCACCAGCTCGATCAGCTGATCGCACTGCTCCGCGATCGACGCCTCGAAGTCGGTGCAGTTGTCCTGGGGGTGCGGCGATAACGTCAAGCCGTGCTGTAAGTGCTACAGCCGCCGCTGTCACCGCCCGGAACTGGACGCCTGGCGCTAGGCGGCGACGCCTTCACACCTACCGACAGACACTGGGAAATTCCTGACAGCATTGTCACATCTGACGACCGAGCAGAAGCACTGCCGACGGAGCTGTCACACCTGTCTACAGAGCCGTCAGGACCGCCCCTATCACCGTCGGGGCAGAGCAAACCGAACCGAACGCGCGGCGGAATCGGCTCAATCTGCCGCGCGCAGCCTCCGAGGCAACTGGACAGAACAGGATGGGGCGGAGGTGCTAGCCGGTTTTAGAAGCCGCCGGAGCGCCTCCAATGCCTATTTCTCGCTTCTCGGGCCCTAATTAAGTCTGAACATTACAGCAGACACTTAATTAGACACGGCGTGCATTGAAACACCGCTAACTTCCTCCACGGAGGCAGTCCGGTTTCGGCCATAACCATGTAATCGTGGGAAGAATGTGCCAGTATGGCTTTCACAGCATAGCAGCTCAGCCCGAGGCCTCACGCAATCAGCCACGTACTTCGGCGCAAATTAATGGAGCAAGACGCCAGCCAACGTACACAAAGCCCCACTTACGTAAGACAACTGGCGACAGCCCTCGCCAAAAACGACATAAGCCATGAATTCATCATTCATCAGATTTTCAGTTCGGCTCGTTGCATCCATCATCATTGATTCATCATTCAACAGATCACTCATCGATGCATGCATCCAAGGCTACATTTACTAAACAGACCCTCATACGTGATTGCCGCGATAGGGCCCACAAACCAGGCATGACACGCGCGGTTTGGATCCAGGCCTCGCAAACACGACCCCAGTTCACTGCGTGTCCAGCCAGTGCATTCAGTCCGCCACAATGGCCTACTCAAACACAATACCCGTATTTCCCCATCGCCAGCGGAGCGAGCACTACTTCTTTCTCCGTCCCTGTTGTCCTCAGAGCAGGACTGGCGTCGGAGCGGCGGCCGACGCAGCGCGGCGTCTCCTCCTCCCCCCCCCCCCCCCTCCGCGACCCAGGCACCGTACCGTGACGACGTCGGCCAGCCCCTTCAGCTGGTGGATGTAGTCGGCGGCCACCTTGGCGCGCTCCGTCAGCTGCTGCAGGTGGAACGACAGGTCCGTCTGCAACAGCACGCCGTTGGTGAGCGCGAGGCCGCGGCGGGTCAGATCGTATGACCGCCGCCGCCACCGCCGGCCGGCCGGACATGCCGCAGACCCGGCGCTGAATGCAGGGCGGAGCCGGACGACGGGCCACTGATGGTATCAGATCGGACGGCGAGCTCTGCAGCACTGCAGAGCGCCGATCAGCGTCCCGCCAGCGTCAGGGCCGTGGGCTGGCGATCGCGACGCGCCGCGGTGCGGGCGATGGCGGCGGGGTGAGGTGGCGGAGGGTGGCGATGGCGGCGGGGTGATGTGGTGGAGGGTGGAGAGGGGACGTGCAAGGGTGACCGCAGATAATGCGGGTCAGGGGATGGCCGGAGACCAAGGGGAGATCGGGACGTTTGGGGTTGACCGGCGGCGTCCGTTCAGAGGGGACTGAAGGTCAGGACAGGGAACATCCACGGAACACCCACACAGAACAGGAAGGGAGATCAAATACGCCAACAGTTCAACTCATTGACAGTTAATACTCATTGGTTCGGTCGGACAGCATAAACCATCAAGCACAGAATAGCACATTGACACGGGATCAGGCGGAGGTTCCCGGGAAAGAGACTCTCTTTAGGAGCCCCGCGGTAAAACCTACACCGGAAGGATGTCGTGTTGTTCGTGACCGATGGCGCTTCCCACGCAAAACTGCAGACGGCGCTGCGTGGGACTTGCGGTAAGCCCGAAGAAAATGTCATGGAGAGCCTCAAGATTCCTCGCACTGGCTTCTGTGTTGAGCTGCAGCATCCACTGGCTCTTACTCGCCTGCCCTGAGGCTGACTGTGACGGCAACCGCATAGCCTATTCGGCTACTCCTAGCAACACAGCGAGCCCGTGTCTCAGCTCTCTGCCGCGTGTCGGGACCATCTCGAGAGCATGACGCCCGGGTGAGCCGGTGAAGAAGTGGCGCTCCTAACGAGGACAGCCGTGGAATCGGAGAGTGGTCACGGCGCCGCTCCAGGCTAACGAGCGCCATCCACCTGCAACACGTCACTCGGCACGAGACGGTGCAGGCCGGCGCCCTGCTGAGGATGGCGCCACGCGCCGGGCCTGTCACACCGGCATTTATTTGCTTTTAGCACGCGGCCGCGCGCGTCGCCCCGGCCTGTGTCTCACCGGCCAGCGGTCGTCCTGACACATCTATATTGGACACTTCCGCGCCCCCCTCCCCCGGCCCGTCCGCCTGCTAGTGGCGTCTCCGGCGGTCCGGCAGACGGCGGCGGCACGCGCGCCCGGCCAGCGCAGATAACAGTCGCCTGCAGCATGAGTTACGGTCGCGGCGGCGGCGGCGGACGGCAGAGAGGCGGCCGACGCCGCGCGGACGACGCCAGGGCCGCCGCGCCGGCCGCGCCGCGCCGCTTCCGGGTCGGCGGCGGGTGCACGTCCGGTCGGCGCGCCCTGCCGAGGTCAGCGCCCTGCGGCGGCGGGTCGGGTCACCGCGCGTGCCGCGCCATAACCACCGCCGGCCGCCGTCTGGAGGAGGCGGGTAAGCCGCCGGCCGCCGTCTAAGGAGGCGCGTAGGCCGCCGGCCGCCGTCTGGAAGAGGCGGGAAGGTCGCCGGCCCTGCTTCCGCCGCCGGCGGCTGAGCCGAGCGTAATGCGACGGCGCTCCTTTGAAGACGGCCGCGCCTGCCGCCGTCCGTCGGACGAGCGGTGCTCGCTCGCGGCTTACCGGTGCGTCAAACGGGGGAGCGATCGGCTCGGGCCGTCGCGGCTATTTACTGCTGTTCACTGGACTGGTGTCCGAGCGTGCTGCAACTGGACAGACAAAATTGCTGACGCTGCCGGCAACCTTGCACGCCGTCGTTGGGCAGAGCCGCGTTCGAGATGATAAGCGCGGTGGTGCGTGCACGAGCAGGCGCTCGCTGTCACCCTTCTGTGCAAACAGCGTACTGACGGCAAAGCGCGAAGCTCAAACAATGTGCTCTCTGGATAATGGCGTACTGTGCCCAGGGTGTTCAGGATCGACTAACAATTGAGTAAGACACAGCTTTGTTGGCTGCGCACATAGGCACATTTATCATTGCGTGACATCCGCCACTATGTAAGCAGCAGGAGCACACACAACCATTCGCCGGCCATCAGGCATACAGAGTGCCCGCCCTCCCATGAATGTCACATGAGCAGGACACATTTACCGACAGAGAAATATCACCCGCAATCTGTTATCCACGAATATGGGCATTAGACACGCTATATCAACCGATCGCCTTGAAAATCAATGACACGGATTCGACATCTTGCATAGTTGTCAGGTGTTTTGCAGCTCCAGCAGCAGCTCCAGCTTTAGAGCCATTGGGGACGAGTGACATGCTTTATGCGGACTGCTGATCGGAGCTTCGCAGCGGCCAGCTCGCGATACGTGGGACAGTTGTTTAAATGATTGGCTTTAATCGCCGGCCATCTCGCTGGGGCGAGCCGTCTCGCCCCTGAGCCCGATCGATCGCCGCGGCAGCATCAGCCCACCGTCGGGGCGGGCCTGAATACTTTACGGCGCGCCAGCGACTCTCGGCAGTTAGTGCCAAAAAAGACGAACGCCTCCAATTTCTGCCGACGGAACGGCCCCCGCACAGCACACACACCGGGCACGCTCATCGCCCGAGCGCCGCCGGCGCGGCGACCCCACGGAGCCCTCGGGTCACCCCGGGTGACCTCGGGTCAGCCGTCGAGGGAACGTCGGAGGAGGTCGCCACAGGTCGGTCACACCCCGACCGCGTCCCGCTCGCCGACTAACCCTCCGGCAGCCGCCGCCGGCGATCAGGTCAGGCCGCGCAGTTCGCAGACCTCGCGCGCAGACTACGGCCATCGACGAAGCCATTTCCGTGAGTGCCGGCGGCTCTCCCAGTGCGGTGACTGCGAAAGTCGAACGATCTGGCGGCGCCGAACGACCGGCTTCAGACGGCGGCCGCTGTGCGAGTCTGCGAGATCCGACCACTAACTGATGAGACGCCGGGCGTCGAGTGAGTCATCAGCCGGCGGACGGATGGGCTGATGACTGACAAATGAATCTTTCGCGTCACATCAGTCTAAAAACCGTTTTGAAGCTAAACAGCCTAGAGATGATGCATTCAGGCCTGAGCAATAACGATATAGAACAAACATATGGTCTATAATTTTCGTTGGAGCTTGCCACTCTAGCATAGTCCAACCCAATCTGGCAACAGTGTAAGGTTTTTTCGTGTCTTCCTATCCTGTCCACGCTCTGGAAGAAGGCAGGTCGCTCCCAGATGGAAGAACTCACAAAGCTTGCTCCATAGCTGAAGAACAGCTGAAAACTCCTTCACCGCCTGGCGGTGCGCGAAACAGGCCCTGCTCACCTAGCGAGCACCGCGGGCACAAACGAGCGGACGCCGGGGGCTGTTCTTGCAAAATGTATGCGGTGTACCGTTGCCATGGTTCCTTCCAGCGGCCTGCATTGAGCGCTTCAACCCTGCAGCCCGCCGGCGGAAAAATCATTGTGCGTCGTGTCGTGGTTTTTACAGTCGATCGATTATCGGAGACGGCTCCAGCCGAGACGTCGAGGTCGACCACAGCGACAGCAAGCAGCCGCACCATCATTTGATGTATTTTTCCTCAACATTATTGGTTTTAAGTTTCTATGGTAAAAGTGAGCTGCCTTTAATGTGTTCGAAGGTTTGGTTGAACGACATTTGATAACGCCTCGTTTAATTAGCACCTTCTGTGCAGCAAACGTCGATGATTGGCAACACAGGAACTCACTCCTGACTCATGACTGACTGACATGACAACTGACATGACTGACTCACGCTGCACGACCACGACCACTCTCCATCTTAAGACGGGTGCAGCTTAACTAAGAAGCCACAATTGAGCAGCAGCGCCGCAAACACTATTGGGATACATTTCAATAGGCCGCTATTGCCACGCGCTTAACGGCAGGTACCCGGGTTACATCCTGTATCCTGAGCGTTACCTCTCCATATTCTCGATATTCGTTTCCAGCAAGAAGCATCACAATCAAATATCTGACATGGCACAAGCACCAATGTAGTTCGGCGACTATTTCTCGCAGCGCCGGGTGCCAACCTCTTCGTCATAGGAACTTGGGCGGCCACCACCCACTGCTTCGGGACTCCCAGATGCAGACAATGTTTGCTAGAATCATACGACGCGCATATCGGTGTCCACCCTCCCAGCCTCGCCTCTGCACATACACACAGAGCCGTGCCAGCGGCCAGGGAGGAGCATGCGCCGAGCCCCGACGACCTTGACATCGCCGCCGTCAGTCCAGCTGGCCTGCACGCAATATTTCACGTCCTGCCGGCTGGATCCTCATGGGAACGTGATAAATTGCGGCATATATTGGATTTGAACGACAATTGCTGTCGTGGGCGGTGGGACGCTTTACATAGCTCCCTGAGAATTTGCCTTTACCCTCCCCGATCGCCCTGCCTCTCTCTTTCTCTTTTTTTTTCTCTCTCTCTCTCTCTCTCCCTCTCTCTCTCTCTCCTTCTCTCTATGTCTTTCCCTCTCTCTCCCTCTCTCTCTCGCTCTCTTTCTCTCCCTCTCTCTCTCTCTATGCCTCTCACTCACCCTCCCTCGCTCTCTCTCAACCTCCCGCTCTCTTTTTCTCATTCTCGTTCTCTTACACGCTCATATCCCTTATCCTTCTCTCGTTCTGTCTCTCTTTCTATCCTTCCTTTTTCTGTTTCCCTTTCTATCCTTTTCTCTTCCTGTCTCTGGCCTCCCCCCTCCCTTTCCCACCCTCTCATTCTATCGCTCACTCGCTCTCTTTAATACATATTGAGAGCTTTCTCCCGCTGTTTCCTTTTCTCCTGTTACAATCTTATGTTTCCCGTTGTTGTGATCGGTACTGCCGTCAAAGACTTCCGCTGTATAATTAATAAAGTAAGTAGCACAGCGGGTCTGTACGGAACTGTCGCTCTTTCATTGAAAAATGCACCATTGCAAAACACACGTCTCCCCCTCGAGCACCGCTGGTCAAGCGATACTGTTCCCTGGACAACTCTCTCAGCCTTGCGACTGTAGACGAGGACGCTGCCCCCCTCAAAAAATGGCTCCCGTTCTAGGGGTGCCGGCGCACATCCACTCAGCACGCTAGCCGCGGCCGATCGGCCCCCGCCCCCCGCCAAAGTCGCCAGCATCGAGGGCATTACAGAAGCCAGACAGGTCATCGCACATACCGGGAACCCCTGGGGCTGGCGGCGCGCCGCTGTTTTTAAGAACGCTTCCTTCCCGTCTTCGCTTCGATTTACGTCCGTTTCTTTGCGCCCCACTATGTCTTCTCTGTTTTTCTTGCTCGCTGTCCGGTTCAAGCCCTAGGTTTGCTTTCTCGCCGCCTCTCCCCGCAAATATCACCCTTGCATGCATGCAGTAAATATATTTATCTTATTTTACCCGTAGGGGTACAAGAAATGCGATTCCTTCCTTCCATTAACTATACGAAATATTGCCAACGTCAACAAAAGACATGGCACGCGTGATTTCGGTATAATGCTTCCTGTGCCGCATCCTTACGCGGCGTACAATGTTTCCTGTGCTGCGTCCTTACGCGGCGCAGCACTTTGCATACGATGCCGCATCCTGAGGGAACCTCCCCCCCCCCCTCCCCACGCCCACCCTCTCGGGCCAGCCCCACCACTCACCACCAGGCGCCAGCCGCGCGGGAGGCCTCTCCAAACCCAATTCAATTAGCGGACCGGCCCGCGCCGCGGCGCTGACCTCACGCGGCGACCTGGGCCGTCGGCGTGCCGTCCGGTGGCACTCCGGGTCACGGCCGCGCCTCCGCTGACCGGGGCGTGACCCCTGTCCCCTGGCGCGTCACGGCGGCCGCGCGTGACTTCACGGGGCCGGCATGCCGCTGAGCGCCGACCGAGGCGGCTGCCAGCTTTGTCGCCAGGCGGACCTGTCGCCATGGCGGCGGCACAGCCTGCTAAGGCATGTGATGGTGCAGCACGAGCAGACAGCCGGCACGCTCGTTCAGACGGCCGACTCCGCCACCCAGCCGCATGATTTGGACTATTGTGCTGCTTCTGAGTTGGGACATGCGCTGCAGCTCGCGAGGAGCAATCGGTTCAAGGAGAAAGCTCCCACGCCGACAAACACTATGCAAAGGAGAGGCGAGCATAACAGTCAGGTGTGTTCGCCACAATCAGTCCGCGGCCGACCTGGTGAGACCCGAGCACGGAAAACCAGTCCGCTCTCACCGATGCAAAGCGGCCAGTGGCCGGTGGCCATGGCCGCGTCATGTCGTCTTATCCAGCACCATGCACTAGTGGACACCTGAGCGACGACCCACGGCGAGGAGCACGTGTACACGCGGCGCTACACCGCTCCCACCCTGAGCTGATGCATGGCTCCTGTCGGCGCACCGTGCAGTCTGTCCGCCTGAGGAGCCGGAGGCCGCGCTCGCCGCCCACGGCGGGCCGACCCAGCTGACGTGGCGGCGACCGGTGCGACCCCGCGTCCGGCGACCCGTGCAGTCTGTCC